TAAATGGGAGGATACGCTTATCTTGCAGGTCTGTGCAAATTGTCCACAAATTTCGGACCGGGTCATTTAAGAATTTGCAAAACTCAGAGCCCTCGCCCTGTCTTTCTCTCTCTCCTTACAAGAGGTGTTCAACCATGCATGCAACAAAGCCTTTCCTTATGTTTATTTTTTGTTTTTTCCTAAAACTTTACCAGGCCAAAAGTTGTATATTTTTAGGTAACTGAACTAGTAGAACAATATATATCGAGGAGAGGCTTCCATGGCAGCAAATGGATGCCAAAAATCTTTTATCAGGAGCTGTAATTTTTTTTTTGTTTTTTTGGTCTGTGTGAAGAGGAAGCAGCAGGTGTGCTCCAGTGTTTGGCACTACGGCAACGCACTGTGCAGTTCGATGTCCCACGACACTTGTTTTCTGTAGGCGAAACAACAACAAATATATACCAGTGCACTGCAGAGACCTTTCAGAACTGTTGGAAACTGCAGCATCTCTTGGCAACGATGAGCTATTTTGATGACTAAGGCAAATGGAGGAGATATTTAAGGGTGAGGGTCTTCCAACGGGACTCTTGTGCCTATTTATCATCTGGCCTTTTGTTAGTCAAATGAATTCCTGTGTTTAAGAGAGTAGGGAGTTTATGTTCCTTTCTCCTTGGCTTCTCTGTTTTCAAAAGGTCCCTTAGAAAGATGTGAAGCTTTCCTATTCCATGTATTTTTTAACCCAGCTAACTAAGATTGCAAATATAAGTCATGTCCACTAGCATGCATTGATAGCTGGGCTAAACGGCACCCAAAACAACCATACTGTGAAAACAAATTTTCTTTTTAGATGGGATCTGCTGCTAGTTAATTACCCTGTATTCTTTTAATACACTGCGTGTGCTCAGGAGCTGATGTTTGTTTTGAATTTTACCAAAAAGCAGTGTCCTTGAATGAAGGAGGGCATGGCTCCTTCTTGAGAAGAAGTACACAAAACTGAGTATATTGAGAACAAAAGTTCATAGATTTGAGAAAGTGACACTGAGAAACTATACATTAGACCTGTGTTTCTGAACCTCAGCAACTTTAAGATGTGTGGACTTCAACTCCCAGAATTCCTCCAGCCAGCATGCTGGCTAGGAAATTCTGGGAGTTGAAGTCCACACATCTTAAAGTTGCCAAGGGTGAGAAACACTGCATTAGAAAAATAAGATTATAAGATCTGTGTAAAGTTGTCATATAATGGAAGTTGAATAGGAAAACAAATGGAAATGTTCTTGGATTTTTAATGAAAATAGAATGAGGTAGAACTTAGATGGACTAGGCTAATGGCTGAATGTATGTGGTCAGGGGTATCTACAGAGTATGGCCCAAAAACATCAAGATAATGGCCATGCTGGTGTAACTTGTTTTTTATGTGCATCACACACTGGTGGAGCTTTGACTGCACCTTCATGGCCACCATCTTGAGTTTTGGGACCACACCGTGTGGACATCCTTGAATGTGGTACTCACACAGACAGGACACAGCCTGATTTATACATGCAGGGAAAAGAGAGACTGTAAGAGAATGACAGCAGAAGGCTGAAAGGATTGCTATTTCTAATGGACTTACTGTTGATTCTGGTGAGCTTCCATACTTTATCTTGACCTGATAGTTTGCTCAGCTCGAATTTGAATGGCTCTTTATTTGGGTGAATATCCTTATCTAAGGCACCAAAGACCACTTTCACATCTTTTGCATCTTCACAGACACTTGCCACCGTTGGATAAAGAGAAGGGGCATTGTCGTTCACATCCTCCAAGATAATCTGCAATGTTCCTGTACCTGTTGCTGGAGGGCTACCTACAGAAAAAGGAGCAGACATTTACAAATGGTCCATTTATGTATAATGCATTCCCCTGTAGGGTATTATTAAGGCACTCATACATCAAGGCAATAGATATATTAATGTTTCATAAAAGAGATGAAACACACACACACAAACTCCATTGGGTGCCCTATTTTCAACACCAGAGAATTCCTTCCTTGATGGCCAATGTCCAGATAAATAAATAAATCACCAAAATGGAAGAGGGCCATCTTGTGAGTCAGAATTGGAGGACCAAGTAGCCTGATGCATGCTTGCTCTGACACAAGTCTGATTTCCCAGGATCTAAGCAGTGAATTAAAACAAATGACCATTTTCTGTAGCTGACACCAAACTAGCCTACTAGCATGACTCTAAAGACTGGCTTTATTTTGTATAAAGCTGGACTTATAACCAAGTTCAGAAGTAGACAGGACCCTTTTCAAACATTATAACATGGCAAATGTGGAAAATGATAAGGTTGTGCATTATAATCCTACCCCTTCAATTATGTTCTCTCATGCTTACCTGGCTGAGTATTCTGGGAGCCGGGTCCTTCCAGGTAGCATCATGTTAGGATTCAGATCAAGGGACTGAACAAGTTTTCTCCTCCTGCCATCTATGTTGTAGAGAACTAGCTGATACCCAATTGGTTTCACTGTTCGCTTTATTTTTAGAGCGATTCCCCCAACCTACTGCTTGAAGCCTTTCTGAGGTAGACATGTATCTTCCGAGAACGGAAGCAAGACCAGCACCTTGCTCTATTTAGATTGACAAGTGGTAATAACTTCTTGTCACTTTCTAAAGTTGACCCAGCTACCTCGTATACAGGTGAAAATGTGATTTCTCCATATTTTTTTTTTCTCTTTCACCATCTGTGTTTTCGATAGCATCTGCTCCCAAAATGAAAAATATAAGACTACGAACAACAGACCACATATTTGTTTATAATAATTACTAGTATTTGTAATAATGCTTCCATTCCAAGAAAAAAAAAATACGGGGCATTATTGTTTCATATTACTCTGGGGAATATGCAGGAATTCTCATTTTGTGATTCTCTCAAGAACCTCTTGATTCACATAATACCCTTTTTCCTCCATGACTGTTAACAGTATGGAATCCAGACTACTGTGGGGTCTTAAAGAGAAATAAAAACAGTGCTAGGAAATGTCGCGCCTGGGAAAGAATTGTCATTGGGGTGTCAGTGGGTATGTGTCTGTGACTGTGCGATCGAAGCCCTGCCTTGCAAAGATATAAAAAAGCAGTAAGGCTTCAACCACACATTTGTGATCCCATCTTGATAAAAAGATGACCTATCTCTTGAAGACACCCCGATTGTCATCCTTTGTTGGAGGTCTGGAGGATAAACCAAGTGTGGAATATCAAGTTGAAGACAAAGACTTTGGCTCCGATTCAGCTAGGTTCACAGATCACCTTGAGTCATGATTTACTTTAACAATCTTTTGTTAACCCATATTTTGGGTCCCCGCAACATGCTAGTCCAACACCCAAGTCTCTTTTTTCTGCCCCTCATACCATGACTGCTGAAAACCAATAGCAAATGTTCTTGTCATTTTGAGGCATTGATCTCACGAATATAGTAATAAATAGACATCTCAGTGTATAAAAAGAAAGAAATCCATCAACCATGGTTTTGTTCATATGGATGTTGTGGGACTACCCATATTGTAACCTTTAGTTCCACCCTCCCCATGTTAAATGTGGCTCTTGATCATTGAACATTTTCTCACCCTTGCACCAAGTCATAGACTGTTAACCATAATTTTTTGAATAAAGCAGAACTGGCTGTTCAAGTAACATTCCAAGCCATCAATCATGGTTTACAAGGCACAGGGATTGGGTCTGCATTTCAAGGTAAACCAGAACCAAACGATGCATCATGGCTTAGTGGGACATTTGAAGCAGTCCTGTCTGGGAACACAGCAAAGCTGCTTATAATGGTGGAAAGGGGAGGTGGAATTACTGATTCCAACAGGTTCAAACTCACCCTAACTGCATGCCCAGCATGGCTTTAGCAGGCTGGAAGGAAAGAAAAATTAACCCATTTTAAAAAAAAGTTCATAGAAAATGCTTAACAGAAACGAATTCATGGTTGTAGAGTGATAAATGACCCTAATGATAATATTTCATCCATTTCAGATGCATAAATGCACAACCAAGGGAGGGTCGTCTGAATTCTAGGGTCTCTCTGCCTGTTTCTGCCCTTGTATCTGATCTCGAGGGGTAACAGGCTGCATTCTTATTAATAAAAAAGCAAATGATCATTCAGTTAAGGCTAGACTAATTGAATTTTTAAAAGGCTCTATGTGTTCCTTTTTTTCCTGGCGATATAATTAAGCTGAGTCAGGAAGGAGAAATGGATGAAAAGCCAATTGAATATCTGAAATATGAGCTTAAAAGTCAGCTTTTTGAGCTCTTAATTAAAACCCCATCTTTACGTTGGAGTACATTATTTCCACATGATCACCTTATAGTAAGTTGCCTCTTCTGATTCCTCTTTCTGCTCCTCCAAAATTAAGAACTGGCAGTGTTGGAAATGGGAACGGACCTGCCCCACAGTATGTGCAGTTTTAATTTGGTCTCTCTTTCCCCGTGTTTTAGAGATCTCTCAGCTATTACGAACACAATGAGGAACAGAAAATTGCCTCTTGCCCATTCGAGTGACTTGTATTATTTATACATGTGTATTATTTATAACCAATTACACACAATACACCAGAATTTCAAAAGAAAAACAAGCAAATGTCAAGGTTGTAAACTGAAACTGGTTAACAACTTTGCCATAGAAAAAGCATTGAAAGCAAAAGCCAGAAATAAACGGACTCGGTGAAGTCTGAATTTACCCCCTGGAGAAACATTCTGAGTCATATTATTCATCTCTTCTCAGGGTGCAAAAATAGATGGGTACAATAGCATCTATCTGAGTTGCTTTCCTAAAAGAATTTGTTAAATACACAGACAACAGATTAATCAAATTGACAAAAGGAAAGATTGCATGGAGCCGGTGTGTTATCTCCTTAAGGAAGGGAGGGCTGTCACCCTACTGAAGAAATCAATATCGGTGTGTTAGAGAAACTCAGGCATGATGGCCCTCTGCACATGCATTGTTTATGCTCTGTTTTTCACTAAGGTCAGTGTAGGACTTTGGCAAACACACTCGTTGCTTCTGAGACACTCCAGAAAAGTAGAAAGGATCAGACTGTGCTGAGAAGGAAAGAGCCCCAATGTGTAGGTTACATGATGACTCAATGATTTGTCTCTCTCACCTACGGATTAAAATCAAATCTGTTTAGGAACTCCTTATGCAGGGGAAGATGGCAAGGGTGATGAAGATTTTTCAGAGTTCTTTCAGATGAAGATGAAAATCAAATGGAGATTTTCTCATGAGACTGAACAATTTTACAAAATTTCATGCCATCTGAAAGCTAGCCCTAACCCTGACTAAATTCAAGCCCCCAGGAGAACTCCAGGTACATGCAAATGTTGACCTGGTAACCAATTCGTCACTCCAAAAACCCAGAGCTGGCGGTGTTGATATTGAACAGTTTGTCTGAGCATCCATAACACAAACTTTTTGTCATCACAATGGATGGTGTTTGACCATTCTTTATTACACACAGACCGAGTTGTGAAAAGAAGGAGCAAGGAATTGAAATAGTTTTTGAGCTCGATACACAGATATTCAGCCTAATCATTGGACAGAGCAAAAGGATGATATTTCGTCTAAAAATAACTCATAAAGACAATATTCGTACAAGTATATGATCTGTGGTTGATGATGGGCAGAATCTCAAAGTGTTGTGAAAGGTGAAAATCGTGTGAAAGAATGAAACAGTGGGGAAGGAATTAAGTGGCGCCTGAGTCCTGACAGCCTAAAAACAATCGTGCCTTCTTGCAAAAAATCGCCTTGATCAACGGATAAATGTCAGATTTCATTTGCAAGGTCACACTCATTTAATCCTCTAAGGGCTGCTAATGATTTTGAGTCCTATAACTGTATTGATGGTATCCAACTCTGATTCAGGCTGGGGGATTCTGGAAGTTGAAGTTCACACATCTTCAAGCTGCCCAGGTTGAGAAACAGCTCCTTAGGGTGTCCAACAAGCTTATCCAGAACGTGTGAAGGATTCCAGACAGGGACTAAGAAGTTGTCTTGTGCCAAAGTATTGTTTCATTTTTATTTTTCCTTCCTTCTAGCTTTAGATAGCCCTTATGAAGATTTCCCACATTTTATTCTTGTCACAGTCACCTCGGGATATAGGTTGGGCTATGAGTGAGTGGCCCAAAGTGAGCTCCATGTTCAAGTGGAGACTTGAATGAGGGTTTTCCTAATCCCAGCTCAACACTTTAACCATTAAACCACACCCACGTTTTGTAACAATATACTTACTTTCCTAATGTTAATTGAAAGTAAAAGTTCATGTAAAATGTGGAAAAATGGTGAGATAGGCTACAGAGCCTCACAATTAGGATAGGTGGAAGCTGACATAGAGACCTAGTCATGCCCTTCTCAACTCTTGATTTCCGTGAACTCATCAGGTTTAAGAGCTGATTTCATATTCCAGATCCCACTGACGTCTTTGCATTTCCCTGAAAATCAGTCTAAGTGAAATGTATTTTTTGTTTCTTTTGCAAGAAACAGAACCATAAAATTAAACCATGTAACTCTTTCTTCCTCTGTCCTCCTCTTGTCCTCTGTCCTCCTCTTGTCAACAAATGTTTTATTCTAAACTTTATAAAAGACCAAGCTGCCTTATATATAATATAATTATTATATATAATTGAGGGCCAGTTTGGTCTAGTGGTGAAGGCTCCAGGCTGTGAGTTCTAATCCTGCCTTAGGCACGAAAGCCAGCTGGGTGACTTTGGGCCAGTCCCTCTCTCTCAGCCTAACCCACCTCACAGGGTTGTTGTTGTGGGGAAAATAGGAGGAGGAAGGAGTATTAGGCATGTTCACCGCCTTGAGTTATTT